AAAGGGTGACATGGGATGACAATGGGTGACACGGGGTGACAATGAGTGATAAAAGGGTGACATGGGATGACAATGGGTGACACGGGGTGACAATGGGGTTATAAAAGGGTGACATGGGGTGACAAAAGGGTGATAATGGGTAACAGTGGGTGACAAAGGGTGGCACAGGGGTGACAAAAAGATGAGAATGGGGTGACAAAAGGGTGACAAAAAGGTGATAGTGGGTGATAATGGTTGACAGGGGGTGACAAAAGGGTGACAAAGGGGTGACAATGGGTGACAGTGGGGTGACAATGAGTGATAAAAGGGTGACAAAAGGGTGACAGTGGGGTGACAGTGAGTGATAAAAGGGTGACAATGGGGTGACAAAAGGGGTGAAAAAAGGGGTGAAAAAAGGAGAGACACATGGTGACAGTGGGTGACAAAGGGGTGATAAAAGGGTGACAAAAGGGTGATAGTGGGTGACAGTGGGTGAGGTGACAATGAGCGATCAAAGAGTGACAAAAGGGTGACAATGGGTGACAGTGGGGTGACAGTGATAAAAGGGTGACAAAACGGTGACAAAGGGTGACGTGGGGTGACAAAAGGGTGACAAAAGGGGTGCCAAAAGGAGAGACACATGGTGACAGTGGGTGACAAAAGGGTGACAATGGGGTGGGAGTGAGGTGACGAGCAATAAAAGGGCGATAAAGGGTGACAATGAGTGATAAAAGGGTGACAAAAGGGTGACAAAGGGGTGACAATGGGGTGACTATGAGCGATAAAAAGGTGACAAAGGGGTGACAAAGGGGTGACAATGGGGTGACAAAAGGGGTGACAAAAGGAGAGACACATGGTGACAGTGGGTGACAAAGGGGTGATAAAAGGGTGACAAAAGGGTGATAAGTGGGTGACAAAAGGGTGACAATGGGGTGAGAGTGAGGTGACAATGAGCAATAAAAGGGTGATAAAGGGTGACAATGAGCGATAAAAGGGTGACAAAAGGGGTGACACATGGTGACAGTGGGTGACAAAGGGTGACAAAAGGGTGACAAACGCACCCACGAAGGCGATGGTGGCCCGGCGGCACGGCTGGCCCGGCACCCGAACCTCACACCGGGCGCCCACCGGGAGTGACGCCGCCGCCGCCGCCTCCTGCGCCCGGCGCTGCTCCCGCTCCCGCTCCCGTTCCCGTTCCCGATCCTGATCCCAGCGGCCCCACGAGCGCTGGCGCAGGAACGAGCGCATGGACTCTGTGGGGACATTGAGGGGACATTGAGAGGACATTGAGGGGACATTGGGGACAGGGCTGGCACCATCGCCCATTTCTAATCCTCGTCCTGTCCCCATTTCCATTCCTGTTCCCGCTCCCGTTCCCGATCCTGATCCCAGCGGCCCCACGAGCGCTGGCGCAGGAACGAGCGCATGGACTCTGTGGGGACATTGAGGGGACATTGAGGGGACATTGGGGACAGGGCTGGCACCATCGCCCATTCCTAATCCCCGTCCTGTCCCCATTCCCATTCCTAATCCCGGTCCTAATCCCGTTCCCGTTCCCGATCCTGATCCCAACGGCCCCACGAGCGCTGGCGCAGGAACGAGCGCATGGACTCTGCGGGGACATTGAGGGGACATTGGGGACATTGGGGACAGGGCTGGCACCATCGCCCAGTCCCGTTCTCGTTCCGATTCCCGTTCCCGATCCTGATCCCAATGGCCCCACGAGCGCTGGCGCAGGAACGAGCGCATGGACTCTGCGGGGACATTGGGGACATTGAGGGGACATTGAGGGGACATTGGGGACAGGGCTGGCACCGTCGCCCATTCCTAATCCCAGTCCTGTCCCCATTCCCGTTCCATTCCCACACCGCTCCCGTTCCCGATCCTGATCCCAGCGGCCCCACGAGCGCTGGCGCAGGAACGAGCGCACAGACTCTGCCGGGACATTGAGGGGACATTGGGGACATTGGGGACATTGGGGACAGGGCTGGCACCACCTCCCATTCCTAATCCCAGTCCCCAATGTCCCCAATGTCCCCCAATCTGCCCAACACCCCCAGTGTCCCCAAT